AGGAGCTTGTGGAACCACCGCGCCCACCGCTGGCGGGTAAGCGTGGGGTCCCGAAGGACCTTACCGTCCTCGTCCTTGATGTTCTGGGAGGTCGTAGGTGTTTCACGCCGTTTTTCTAGAATTTACAAAAAAAAAGAAAGTATTTGACCCTTTGGGGTAGCGTATCAGTGATGCNGTCGGCGACTTGGTGTTAAGGAGCTTGTGGAACCACCGCGCCCACCGCTGGCGGGTAAGCGTGGGGTCCCGAAGGACCTTACCGTCCTCGTCCTTGATGTTCTGGGAGGTCGTAGGTGTTTCACGCCGTTTTTCTAGAATTTACAAAAAAAAAGAAAGTATTTGACCCTTTGGGGTAGCGTATCAGTGATGCGAAGAGAATGGTACACCTGGTGCATGGTAGGTAGGGCATAGCGTTCAGTTTGTATCGTGTTAGCTGGTTTCCTGGTATGTTTGGTGTTGGTAATCAGCATCAGTAGAGCACGGAAAGTGTTCAAGTGTTTATTGTACAGCAGACAACACTTCAGACAGCAGTACGCTGTAGTGTAGTCGACAAACATTCATTTTGGTTAAATGCGGGACAAGGGGGGTGATGCTGCTGCTGTAGTCGATATGTAGTGTGTGGGCGTGCAGTTCAGTTGTGAGCACGCAACCGTGCTGCAGGGATTGCAGGTGTACCTCCTCGGTCTTGCGTACCCTTTCCTTGCTAACAGTAGTGTGTGTGTTCTTCAGATCTTCTGATGGCTCTTGCATTTGTTGTGACCACGGACCGAGTCTTTGCTAGATTTTCTAAGATTTTGGGATTAGCAACTGACACGAGTTAATGTGAAGAACAACAACAACAAGAATAACTGACGCTATGGATTCATTGCTAATCTGTCTTGGACTCTTTTCTTCGAGGTAGATTCGTTGTGTCATATCATAGCATTAAGCAAAAAAAAAAAAACATTGAAAGACGTCGTGACACAAAAAATATCGGAGCCCGTTGTAGCAGCAGCAGCAGGAGTCCGCTCAAACGCATGGCCGGTCCACCGGTACTGTCGCGAGGCGCTGTCGATCAGGAGGCTGCTGGCGGAGAGCCCGAGCCCCAGCGATGGTGCGTGGAGGAGCCTTGTCGCAGGAGACCCTTCTTTGGGCCGCCCGGGGGCAAACCAATGTACTGCGCCCCGCACGCCAGGAATAAAGAGGGAATGGTCGATGTGAGCTCGAGGAGATGTGAAGCTGTTGGCTGCGCGAAGTGGCCCCTGTACGGAAATGAGGTGAGAGATGCGTTTGCTGCCAGGAGGAGAAGTGTATTGAGAGGAGACATGGGCGGGCGGCTGGCTTCGCTGGGAGAGGGCAAGCTGTTGCGATATGGGTCACAACGTAACTGGCATTATCTTTTTCAGGTGGCGCAACATCACACATAAGTGCGTGTGCGTGCTGCTGGTGGGTGCGGGGTTGTATAAACCAACAACATACAACATGCGAGACTCAACCGCGAACACCACCTTATAAAGAAGGACTGCTCCAGATACGGGCTGGCCCAGTGTCTACGCATGTGCACTGCTGCGGAGGTGGTGAAAGATCGATGGACATCACGGTGCTTTACAGATGCTGCTTTTGGTCGTTCTTGGTCTCCCAAAAGAGAGAGGAGATGGGACACCAACCAACTTTCAAGTTGCACTCATTTTGGAGGTTGACCAGCATCAGCACATCAACGCAGCCAAATATAAACCGCAGCGGAAACGGAGAGCCGAGGGTGCATGGCTTGAGTACCCCAGTGCCATCTCACCCTTGTATTACTCCGTACCCCGCCGGGTCTCTTCTTTGATTCCAAGGCGGCGGCCCCGGCCGGAGGGCATGCGTTTTCTTCGCATCATCAATCAGTGTTCGCGGACGTTGTCTCTCGATCACGCACTTCTGTGTGTCTTTTTTGTTGATGAAAACACCCCGCCGCCTGGCTGCTGAAACTCGCTACCACCCGCTACCAAATTTGGGCAGAGAACAAAGCGCCGTGTGACTCAATAAGGCTTGTACTGCGCTCCCTTTGTTCTCACGCCAAGACTCACAAACGCTGCACAACCTGATGTAGGGAACTGCGCCAACCGAAACACGTCCGCTTTTGGATTCTGTCCACAGGCGACATCGACAGGTTTGAGGTCGAAGTTTGTCCTAAAGTTCCGCTGATTATTTCCCACCAGCATCTCGCGCACGTATGCATATGATGTTTCGCACGGGTGCACACACGGTAGAGGAGGTTTGCCGTACTTACCGCAAGTTCCATCTTCATCTGGCCACGTACACATTTGATCGACTTCGTAAGTCGCGAGGGAAGGGATTGCTGTACCCTTCTCGCGATACAAATATCTCAGGCAGGAACCCCAGGAGGGATCCACCTCCCGCCTCCTATGTGACCCCGGTTGGGTCGTCTAGCTGGTAGAAGTCGAGGATAGGGGCCGGAAGGGCAGACGACAGAATCCAATGATGGGAGAAAAAGTGCTGAACTCTTCTCGCATTAAAAATCGAAGGCAAAGTACCGCGGGAGGGGAGGGGAGAGAGGGGCTCTTCTGTGTGACGACGGGTTGGAGTAAACGGCACTAGTGCTGTGAGCGCTGATTTGAAGTGAAGGTTCGGGAGAGGGCATNTTAAAAATCGAAGGCAAAGTACCGCGGGAGGGGAGGGGAGAGAGGGGCTCTTCTGTGTNAGGGATCCACCTCCCGCCTCCTATGTGACCCCGGTTGGGTCGTCTAGCTGGTAGAAGTCGAGGATAGGGGCCGGAAGGGCAGACGACAGAATCCAATGATGGGAGAAAAANGCGACTTACGAAGTCGATTATGGTTTACTAACGACGAGCTTTGCAGCGCGACGCTTTCATCATGTGTGGAGCTGTGGCAGTGTAATTGTTTATTTTCGTTTGAGTCATCTAGCTGCTGAAACCATGACTGCTGTTGGATCTTGTTGTTGTTGTTGTTGTTGTCTTCACATTAAACCGTATGCCAATTGCTAAATGCCAAAATCTAGCAAAGACTCTCAGCCCGTGGTCACGATCTTGGGAGTGTGCGATTATCAAATTGGGAGATGTAGCATACCACGATATCCTGGCTTCGGCTGGGCTTGAAATAACCCTTTTGCTGTTCTCCGCTCTTTGCATCAGTGGCTTCCTAGATTCGGGCGAGGGCATGTTTTTTGTTAGTTTG